AAAAAAATGTTTAAGTTTTTGGCTCTCAAGTTAAATTTTCACAAAGGATCCCTTATTATGTTGTCAAAGGCTAATATAAATATTTTGGGGTGAAAAGTGGCTTGTTTTCCATTACTCAGTGAGCCAATAAGGAGACCACTTGGGAGGGGCGAGGGTGTATTTTTGTCTGAATTTGAGAACAGTCTGGACCTGTACACAGGACCACAAGGATGTGGAAACCAGGAGAGGGTAAGAGAACTTGAGAACAGTCTGGACCTGTACACAGGACCACAAGGATGTGGAAACCAGGAGAGGGTAAGAGTCAGCTCAAGAGCTTGAGAATACAGCTCTTCGTAGAAGATCTTTGGAAGAACACCAGGAAATTGGTTGCCTCTACAGAGGGAAGCTGGAGCACTTGGGATAGGGTGGGAGGAGAAAAGAAAGTAAGGCTCTTTATTGTCATAGCCAAGTTATACTGTGGGCAGCGCCTTAAAATATGTGATGACATTTTGCAAGCAGGCTTTTGTTGACCTAAGTGACTATATCTTTTATTTTGAAATTAGACATAAGACAGATGTCTATTTATGGGTTCTCTGGCTGGGCCAGGGCAGGGCACCACCTGCTCTGTTTGCATATTTTCTTGATATTCTCTCACCTGCCCTCCCTTCCCCACCTCAGCCTCTCAGAATCTAATTAAGAGTAGTAGATGATCACTAGGACTGACAAGAACAGCATTCTGATAGTTTTAGTACAACTTCTACTGTGTGACATGGTATTGGGCAAGACTCAAATTTCCCTCACAAGCACCCCTAATAGCAGAGCCTAGCAAGACTCTTTTTGATGGCTCCTGTTTTACCTTAAATAATTAGGTCTATGATTTAGCATTTAACCGAACGTGGTATGATGAGTTACCATTAGGAAAAAGGTGTCTCACTACGTGTATCCTGCGGTCTCAAGCAGCCCTACACACCACTGCACACCCCTGGGGTGCCGGGTCTAGTATTGTTTTTCACATGATTGTTTACATACATTAAAATTCACCAATTTTAAATGTACCATTTGATTAATTTTGGCAATTGTATACAAGGTGTAACCACCGCCACCATTGAGCTATACGACCGTTCCTTCGCCACAAAAAGTTCTGGCATCCCCCATAGCCCGAGTTCAGTTTTGAGACGCCGGATTGGGTTCTACAGTCTCTAGCATCGACTTTCAGGGTGNAATCTCAAACATCCCCAGTATCTGAGATGTATCCTCAAGCTGTGTTCCCCCTGGCTCTTGAGAATCTCAGATAGACCTCTGCTTACTTTCTGTAGTTTGCATTAGAAAGTAGCTTGTTTGTCTTTTTATATATATAGCTATATATCAAATAAGCTCTTTCAAACCATATACATCATAATATTTGCTAGGGATTAAAACACATCGATATGTGTACCTCCCTGAGTTCATAATGATACCAAAAATAAAAACAAAAACTTGATTTGTCACCATTAGAATATATAGTGACCAACTCCTTTTGTTGAAAGTTGTTAAATGAAGGGAATAAATCAAGCATTTATTCTTTCCTATATAAACCGTACCATTGGGTAACCAAAATTTAGTTAAGGGAGAAGTTTGTTTCAAAGAAAGAGTTCAGCAAGTAAGTGAAGAGGAAATGACAGAATTAGAATCTCACCCCCTGAGATAGAATTAAAATGCAGTAATGAATTTAAACATTAATTTGTGGAAACATCACAAAAATAAAGGCAACCAGACATCATATGCCTTCTGACAGAAGTATAAAATACCAACTATGACAAAGTTTAATCAAACTTCTAGATCCAACAATCAATTAATGAGAAATATAGAGAAGAGCAGAACATATTAAACCAACAAAGTGTAAAAAAAAAATATTTGTGAGACAATCAGGTATTTGAACACTTACTGAATATATGATAATATCAAATAGTTATCACTTTTTTTTAGGTGAAATAATGCCACTGTGGCTATGTTTAAAAAAAGAACTGTATCTTTTAGAAATGCATTCTAAAATATTTACAGATGAAATAATATGATGTCTGAGATTTGCTGTAAAAATAGTGCAGAGTAGGGACCGAGCAGTAGGTGGGCATATGTATGAAACAAGATGGCCTAGAGTTGATAATTATTGAAGATGAGTAACAGAGACATAGAATTTCACTATACTACTCTGTCACTTTTGTATATACTTGAAATTTTCCATAGAAATGCTTTTCTTTTAAATTATTAACAGCTTTCTGAATATTCTGATATTCTTATCCTATGTGATAGCCATCCCTCTCCCACCCCTTGAAGTTATCATCCTAGGTAGGGAGTTTTCAGGAAATTGCAAATACCAGAGAAAAGTAACTTATTAATTCATTTAATATCTCTTTGTAAACTAATATAGAAGATTTTTTCCTGTACTGCCTTTAAACCTGAAAATACTGAGTGCCTGTGAGTAGAGGTAAAAGAAAGCCTTGGGGGAAGGAAAGGAAGGGCTGAGAGAAGGAAGAGAAAGAACAAATTTTGTCTTCATTGTAACTCTTCCTAGGGTCTTCATTCCTTGGCGTATACATCTTTGTGTGAGTTTTACTAAGAGAACGTTCATTGGAGGTGTGAAAAAAATGTTTAAGTTTTTGGCTCTCAAGTTAAATTTTCACAAAGGATCCCTTATTATGTTGTCAAAGGCTAATATAAATATTTTGGGGTGAAAAGTGGCTTGTTTTCCATTACTCAGTGAGCCAATAAGGAGACCACTTGGGAGGGGCGAGGGTGTATTGAACTTGAGAACAGTCTGGACCTGTACACAGGACCACAAGGATGTGGAAACCAGGAGAGGGTAAGAGTCAGCTCAAGAGCTTGAGAATACAGCTCTTCGTAGAAGATCTTTGGAAGAACACCAGGAAATTGGTTGCCTCTACAGAGGGAAGCTGGAGCACTTGGGATAGGGTGGGAGGAGAAAAGAAAGTAAGGCTCTTTATTGTCATAGCCAAGTTATACTGTGGGCAGCGCCTTAAAATATGTGATGACATTTTGCAAGCAGGCTTTTGTTGACCTAAGTGACTATATCTTTTATTTTGAAATTAGACATAAGACAGATGTCTATTTATGGGTTCTCTGGCTGGGCCAGGGCAGGGCACCACCTGCTCTGTTTGCATATTTTCTTGATATTCTCTCACCTGCCCTCCCTTCCCCACCTCAGCCTCTCAGAATCTAATTAAGAGTAGTAGATGATCACTAGGACTGACAAGAACAGCATTCTGATAGTTTTAGTACAACTTCTACTGTGTGACATGGTATTGGGCAAGACTCAAATTTCCCTCACAAGCACCCCTAATAGCAGAGCCTAGCAAGACTCTTTTTGATGGCTCCTGTTTTACCTTAAATAATTAGGTCTATGATTTAGCATTTAACCGAACGTGGTATGATGAGTTACCATTAGGAAAAAGGTGTCTCACTACGTGTATCCTGCGGTCTCAAGCAGCCCTACACACCACTGCACACCCCTGGGGTGCCGGGTCTAGTATTGTTTTTCACATGATTGTTTACATACATTAAAATTCACCAATTTTAAATGTACCATTTGATTAATTTTGGCAATTGTATACAAGGTGTAACCACCGCCACCATTGAGCTATACGACCGTTCCTTCGCCACAAAAAGTTCTGGCATCCCCCATAGCCCGAGTTCAGTTTTGAGACGCCGGATTGGGTTCTACAGTCTCTAGCATCGACTTTCAGGGTGGTTTTAGGAATGTCACTTCACATGTCTGGGTCTGTTTCCGTTCTTGTCAGATAAGGAATATCGGAGAAGATTTGTTCCCAGGGGCTCTACCAATACTTTCAGGAAATGCGGGCGTGGGGCGAGGGCGGGATCTCCGCCTGCCCCGTGCGACCCCACGCGCAGGCGGCAGACCCTGCAGGGGAAGGGCGTGTGGCCGCACCAGGCAGTTAGCTTTTCATCTCCTTAGTAGTGTGTAACCTTTTCTAAGCATCAGTTTCCCCATCTGCGACATCAGGCTTATTAACAAAGACCTATTTGCAAACTGTTGTAACTGATGAAATGAGATGTAACCCGTAAATGTTGGTTGGTATTTTTATTAGTCTACTATATAAAGTCACTGCACTCGACCATCTCCACTACTGCACATTTACGCAGGCTGATTCCCACAACCACAACAGAAACACAAGACGCCCCCCACCCCCGCCATCTACCATCCCGGAAATCCCCAAGCCCGGCTGCCAAAGTTTTCGGCGCTGAGAACATCCGGGCAAGCGTGCCTGTGCTTCCAAAGGGCCTCGGTAGGGGGCAGAATTGGGACCCGGATGTTCTAACGCTTGT